GGTTAATATTATTTCGGTCTACAAATAAAAATTAGTGGGGTGGGGTTCTAACTTCCGATCATTATTTTGTTTAATTAATTAAAAAATAATGAAGGGTCTACAAAATTTTTTAATTGTATTACAATGATGTACAAAGGTCCTACTATTGATCTAAATAAAAAAACTAATGAATTTTCAATTATGTGCTGCCAACTACCAGTCACCAGCCCTAGCAATTTCCCCTATAATCTCTGTCCGTATTATATCGTATACCTTAGTTAGTTTATGGACATCATCACAGCCTTTTGGAATTATCGGCACTTCGGACTCACGATCTGTTTGACTTACAGGTACGGCCTCTTTTTTAGTACCGTAGTCGCCGCTACGACAGTTGTCGGTTTAACCGTCACCATTGGTGTTAGCAATCTCCCCTATAATTTCTGAATTATATGACCATGTCCCCCTTGCGACGAGTTTCTCTGACAAAGCAGTGATACTGCGGCTGCCGCCCTGCGTGCAGTCGATATAGTCCAAAGTTTCCAAACGAAATAAATAATGGCTGACCTGTGGTTGTTATTACGTGCACTTTGTAGAGATGATTTTGGGTTTATGATTGTGTGAGACGTTCCCTTCTGTGTATGTCAGGTTGTTTTTTCCGTGTGCATAAAGTGTAATAAAGAAGACTAGCTGTATTTCCTACTTGGGACGTGTTTTCTTCACTGTTTTCGTCACACATGGAAGGAAAAAGAATAAGAGAAAGAGAAAAAATATTCTTTTCGAAGAGGTGTTCCTCGATCACGCCAATCGACCATACCAATTGTTATTGGTGATAAAATTCTTATACATGTAACCAAGTCAACAGTGATGATTATGGCCGTCGATCAACCTCAACGTTTACAATTGTGAGAAAATATTCGATTCGTGGACGTTCTGAATTCTTTCTCTCCCCTTAATTGTTAAAAACGATGGGGAGTATTTTGTATCCCCCGTGCGGGACAATAAACAATGTGAAAAGACGATGTACTCAAATACAATTGAGATGTGAGTGTTACAAATTGTGCTATTCTTGCGATTATCAGTGATATTGAAAAATCTAACTAATTGATGATATGGTTCATCGTGAGATTTCTTTCTCTCTTGACAAGTGATTCGAGAGGATTAGTCAGCAATCATGGTGCACATACCGGGTGCTTATACCTATGATTTTTGGGCCAAAACACCTACTGAAGTGGTGGAGTTGACGTGTCTGATGCCAAATGGTGTTATCATACCCTTTGAGACCAATAGGAATACAACTCTTGCAGAAATCAAAGAGGTAATAACAATACCTTTCATGCACAAGCCTTGGAGAAAACTGATCATCCTCCACGTGGGGGAGACTCATATCATTTTTATGGCGAGGGGTCAAAATTATTTTTCATCTTGTGTTCACAGTTCAGAACATAACTTTTGGAGGTCCTGCGACTTTCCATGGCCTGTTGACAGAAAAAAACATGATATATATTGAAACGATGAGACAACTTTTTTTTTAATCCACCGATTTTTCAAGTTCTTCATGTTGCCACCATTGCCTCTTAATAATAATTCTATGAACTGATCCAGTCGTTTTCCTTGGTTCTTTGAACCATTAAAAAGTCACTCAAGATATTTTTGGGGTGGCCATTTTATCCTCACGTCCCGTATATTTTTACGTGATTTATAGACCTATATTATTGACTTAATACCTGCATCTTAAGCTAGCTGTCAAAATAAGCGAAACGAAAGTTTCGAAACTACTTTTCTCCATTCTAGGAGATTTTTCTACTAGTCGAATTTTCTGAAAAATCGTATTGTGCTATAGTTTTCTGAAAGCTGGACACTGAATAGGCTACAAACAGAATAAAATAATAAGATACGTCCGAAAGAGGATAGTTTTGTTTTTCGCATGTGTGAGGTTTACACACTTGATACACGCTTGAACAGCATAACTTAACCCTATTTTGCATTTCAGAAAATTAAGTGAAAATGAAGCCCTGAATAATTTAAGACTTCTCAAGAATTTATTTTCTGTCATTTCATCAAATTTCCTATCAACAAGAGTTTTGACAAAACAGGTTTCAAGGGTCATTTCTTCGGGTATTTTTCAAAGTCAAATTTCATCTGATAGGAGCGTAGTATGTGAGGCTATCCATCAAATTTCATACTATCGAAAATTTTTGGAAAATTTCGGACAGCAATTCATCAGCCGCTTTTCAAATGTCTCTTCTCTTCCAACGCATTTTGCGTTCAATATTTCGTGTGACAGAGGACAAAAAAGCAGGTTAACCCACTACTCTTGGCTGAAGTCCGAGATATAAAATAACCAGCCGGATAGCACTCGTACTTCGAAGAAAGAAATAAATAAATTTCAGCGATTTAATATCCAATCACTTTGAAAGGATAGTGGCATTACTATTGGAAATAATCAAGAATAAGGAATGAACATGAATGTAATTCCTTGTCAAGTAACGGAAAATATCAAGAAGTTGAGGTCGGCAAGTACATGGGGGAGAAAAACACAGGAAAAATTACGTGACTAATCACGTAATCATGCCCTGGAGTGTCATTTCCGTGTTTTTCATTGTAGAATTTGGGAAAAAATGAGAGATGGACAGTAAATTTTATTATTTGCTTTTCATTTATTTATTTATTTATTTTTTTTTAATTATTTTATTATTTTTTATTATTTATTATTTTTAGAAAATTTACGTGACTGTCACGTAATTTCTTACGAACTTGCAAAATTTACCACAGTTCCGGTAAAAATTATTCCGAGTAACGTAAAAATGATCCAGTTTCATTACAATCTTACATGACGTACCCTAATTTTTACGTGACCGAATTGAAAAATTCCTAGACTGTTGGCTATACCCGATCGCGAATCATTGCCCAACTTCGGATCGCGTCACGCGGCAAATTATTATTGTCGGAAGAATAAAAAAACATTACAGGTGATTTTTTAAGTTTTGATCCTGTCAAATCATTTATTAATTAAATATCCTCTCCCTCACTTAGATTAAATTTAGATATAACTAACTAAACTTGTCCACACATGTATACCCTTTCGGGCTTTTACATCTCTCACCCCCAGTTCCCCCTGTACCGCAATTACGCCGAGAGCCGAAGGGAAAACCTCATGGGAAAAAACCTTGGCCAGGTACAGTCGTCTCTTTCGAGGCTACCGCTCGTACGATGAAAACCTGTGCAAGTTAGAGCGAATTCTATCTCCAAAAAACCCCTGGTCTTCCCCCGACTGGGAATCGAACCCACGAATCTCATGTGTCAACCCCCTACGCTCTAACCGCACGGCCACCGCACGTCGGTTCTCCCTCAATTATTATTATTGAAAAAAAAAACGTTTGGCGAAAAATTGCGAAAGAATTCGGCAAAATTTAAGGAACAGAGTACCGTAATTTTTCTACCGCTAAAGGTGACTTTTTACCGACCGAGTGCTAAAATGTTCCGAATGATCGGCACTCTTTCCGATTTTATTTCGCCCCACGTTTACCTTTTACACATGAATTTTTACGGAACTTTTTCCGTACTTTTTCCAGTATTTTTCTCTCCGTGTGCATTCCCTCTCAGTTTCTGAACTGGGAATTAAGGATGTTTAAGCGCTCAAGTGAGTAACCATGTCGAAAAATAAAATAAACAGTTTGAATAAACCATGTACGATATAAATAATTTTTTCTATTAGTTTACAAGCCTCATGGCATGGTTTTCGGTTCAAATTACTGATAAACATAGAAGATGTTTATAAACATCCACGCATGACTGACTGCTGTGGTTTCCTGTGGTTTTTCGATTACTCGAGTTTTGATCGTGCGATACCGCATTTGGCAAGGTACTTCGCCATCGCGGTTTCATCGTTACCTTCCTTGCCGATATTGCTCAGCTGCAAGAGCAACATCGTCAATATCAGGCATGGGCAAAGTGCGCTCAATCGGCTCACCTAGCTCCCAACCTCAATTAGGCCAATGACTATAAAAGAAGGGGTCCTACTGTACTGTGCAGGTAGTTGGAGGGGCGAGACCACGATGCTTGGGTCAGAGTGGGGGTGTCGTTACGTCAGTCAACGCGCAAAAATTTGAATTTTTGAACGAAAAATATGAATATTTTTCTTGCTGCATTATGCATTGTTAAAAAATATCAATTAATCATTTTTCCCTCTATCAACTTCCGCATAAAATTCCATTGAATAAATTACTCTGAATTGAATATTTCGGCAGCAAA